CATTTCTGTCACATGCTTGAGGTATTCGGCCAATCACAACGCACTGAATAGCTGACCAATCAGAGCACACCTCGCTTTTCGGACCGATGAGCTTTGTAAAAATCGACGTGTTTCAGAAAGGCGGGGCATAGAGGAGCAACAATAATGTACAGTATGTGGAAAATAATGTGTTTTTTTAACCTTAAACCGCATAAACACATTTCAATGTTCTTTTTTAGCAACGTCATATGACCCCTTTAAGCTTGTGTTCGCCACCTTATTTCAGGCATTTAGCTACCCACTGACTTCAGGACAATTAAATCCGAAATGCAAAAATGCTAACTCATTTCCATGTTTTGGCTTACAAAAATACATCATCCCGGTAAGTTATTTAATTATGGAAAATGAGACATACATAAATAGCTGAAATAAATACATGTAAAAAACAAAATGTTTGCTCAGTATTCACAAAAATGTGAAAACATTTTCCACTATGACTTTCTTATCCATTAATTAGGCTGGCTGTAGATTTTGAAAATGATTTGGCAGATACACTGTATTTGAATATTCTAGATTTGAATATCACTAATCAGTTCTGCATAGTAAATGTTTTTGTTTTTTTCAGTCTAAAAGTGTACAAACGTCCTCATCATCTTCATCAGGTCTGACTAGGGTCTATCATTGTGGCATCTGTAATAAAGACCCGACTCTCACCTCGACGGAGATCCTAAAACACAAGCGCCAGCAGCTGTCCTGAGCTCACACATGGGTACACGCTCACACTTTAAGACCTTTTCTGTCCATTCAGCTCCTCTGTGTTTATATTTTCTCCATTACATTTTCAAATAAATGTGAAAACTCTCTTGATGTAATTCTTCTACTTGCCTTTAATTGAGTCCTGACTGAAGCGCCCCCTTGTGGACAATCAAGAATGCGCGTGGTGATAATTGGCTCCGCCTAGTGGTCAGAGTGATAAAAAATTAACTTAAATGATTTTAGCAAATGGCTGCAATATAACAAAGAGTGAAAAATTTAAGGGGGTCTGAATACTTTCCGTACCCACTGTATATCAAACAGAACTGTCAGAAATCGTCTGGTTCTTATTTCAAGAAAATTATTTTTTTTACATTATTTTCCTGACAATCAAGCACATCCTCCTTCCAATTCTCTGTAGTTTGTAATTTGGACCACTGTAATACAATTATTTAAATTACATGAATATATAGGTAGCGTTTGTTAAATATAATACACAGATTTTTAATTTCATTTCTATTGATATTAATTTGAAAAATATTGTCTGCACGGAATTTCCTTTACTCTTAAACCGTAAACTTAACAAACTTACTCCAATTACTTATTGTCGTGAAAATATTAATTGACTTTTCTTTATGCAAAATATAAATTCTTATGTGTTTCCTTTGAAAATAGGGAGAAATATGACGTAGACATTTCTTCATGAAATTCGGCCTATTCCAACTGGATGTTTGAATGGAGCACAATGCACTATTGCTGTCTTGTGCTCTAATACACCAGACTGATATTGTGGTTATGAGTGAATGCTGAATGATGCCGTCCCACAATTAGTGTACATAAACACGATTCAGAGTGCAAACTTTTCATTAAAATATAGAGTTAGGGTTTAATTAATGATACAAACCCACGATATGTAACACCTCAAAGCAGCAAATTGGCACAAAGTCAGAGAAGTAAGACAGCAAAAAAAAAAAAACCCCGTCTCCAAAAATAAATAAAGAATTATAATAAATATCTCAATAAATATATAAACAGGTAATATTTTCCATTGATTACTTTTCAAACTAATAGACACATACATATTAAAATATGCACATTGGCAGAAATAATCAACCTGGAAAAGAAAATGAGTATTTAGGTACGTCGTTATTTAGAAATTATAGGTTATTGGTTAAATAAATCAAAAGGCACATTTATTAATAGGATGTATGACTAGGGCCCTCAAGGGTGGTCTCATCTCACAAAGTTCTCTTTTTTTCCCAGTGCTATTTTTGGGTCTTTTTGTGTTTCCCTACTCATGTCTAATATTCTGCCCATAAAGAGTGAGTGTGTGTGTGTGAGTGAGAGAGAATGTTTCACGTCTTTGAAAATGGACTGAAATGAGTCCAGATGGACAATGAAATACAATGCATGTGTGCAGATTGAATGGTCCAGTGGTTCATCTTGCTGTAAAACCCTTTTCTTTTAAAGTGACTCTAATGAACAGTTAATACAACATTGATGGAGAAACCTCTTGGAGTTTGGACGTTAGTTCTTCCCCATCATATATATCGTAATTAAGAGGCATTGTCTTCCTAACTCAAACATTGACTACAGGGCTGTGGTAAGGGCAGCGAGGTAAGACAAGTTTAGGGGAGTTGAAATAGCAGCTTCGAGATATTTAAAGCAATGTTTCTTAACACTTTGAGGTCCAAACCGTTATGCCAGGCAGTGTTTGAACTGATTGGTCTAAATTCTTGCGTCCTTTAGCCAGACAACGAAGTTTTCAGCGTCAAGTCATTTGCCTGTCCACAGTGAAAACAAAATGATATACTGTAACACAGTCACAACCAGTCAGAACGTAGCTGATGTTTTTGGACCAATGGGATTTCACTGTGGGCGGGGCTACCCAGACAAAATGTCCTGTCACTTCGTTGCTTTTGCGTTGTTTAGCAACACAAAAGCACACGCGAGGTGCGTTGTAACTCGTTATAGTTAATGATTGAGTACTTCTCTTGTTGCCATACGGACAGATAAAGTTAAAATGTTGTGTCACACACAACAAGCCTTTGCTCTTTTATTCTTTACTTCTTACTAATAACTAATTGCACTGTATTTTTGGTGGTGTGTACAACTACATTTCAAGGCCTCGGTTCACATTTGCTGCGCAAATGTTCGGCAGATTCACGTCTAGATTATCTCTCCACGTTTTTGGTCTATACTTCAAATATAGGCAACATTCTTGGTTGCTGGCAAGTTCAATACAACTATACTCTCTTGACAGAAGAATGAGCATGTATGTGGTGAAAGAGGTGGTTTTGGTGAAACTGCCCTCAATCAGACCGTTCACGTTCCCTGTTCTCAAACAACTAAAAGTGATACGACATCAACATGTTCTCCTTCACAGATATGTTCTGGCCGAACGTGCGTGAAAAACCTACCGCAAAGACCATATACAAAACCTCACCACAGCACACAGTCCCCGAAATAAGTTTATCTGCCTTCCTCTCCTCTGGACTTTGAGGTAAAACTCAGTAACTTAGAGGTACAAGGGGAGTGTATTCATTAACTCAATTGCAAAAAATATCTTTCAGTAGTTCAAGTAAAATTAGATACTCCAAAAAAAAGGTCTTATAACCATAGCTATAAACATTTTGCATCTCATATATTCTCCCTAAATTAAATAAAAAATAAAACCCAAGAGAAAAAAAACAAAACAATTGTTTACACATCACTGATCCCCATTCACTCCCCACCTCCCGGAGACGACCCCTGACCCCAACGACCAGCAAATCAGAGAGCGATCTCCCCGAACCCATGCACCCACCGCCTGTACGAGCGTGAAGGGTCAGAGCAGAGAATAGAAAGAGCGGAATGCAGCAGACGGCCTCGGAGGGGGCGAGGGGATATTATCGTGAAGGTTTATGTAGGAGATCTGGCTCTACGGCTGTTCCTCATCTTTGTGCTCCCGTCCCGTCACAATAAGCTCCGCCCACGCGCCCTCCCCCCGGTCAGGCCTCATCGCACGGCCTTGTGCTTTCCTCCGCAGCAGCCGCATCTCTCCCCACAGCGCAGGCATACGCGCAGGGGCAGGTAGCAGCACATGCAGGGCACGAAAAGAGACAGCACCAACAGCGCCATCCAGCGGGCGCAGCACAGCACGTGTGGCCGGCCGCCCATCGAGTCCTCGCACGAGCACGGCTCCCAGAACTCGCCCTCGGAGTCCGACATGCAGTGGTAGAGCAGGCTCTCTGCGCACCACACACACGTCCACTGGCGCAAGCAGTGTAGTGCCGGGTCGGGAGCGTCCCGGCAGCGGCCCCGTCCATTCTCGGAGGCGCTGAAGACGGAGCGGCAGTACACGCAGCGCGACGAGCAGGAGGAGGAGCCCTGCGGACAGGAGCGGGGGGGTCGGGGGAGCTGGAGGAGGCGGAGGGGGCGCCGGAGGGTTCAAAATGGCGGTAACTTGGGTGAGCTGGTGCTGGGCAGGTCGGGTGTGGATCTGCGGTGAGAGAAATTCAAAAATACAATAAACATGCACTTCATTCATACATGGATGGGTGTATTCACACCAAGAAAGTCCACTAGTTCACTTGCTTTGATCCGGAACAAATACAATGTTGATTTTTTTGTTTTTTTTTGTTTGGTGTGGTTTGCTTTCACACTGCCCCTTTTGCAACTGAACCAGAAATTGCAAGGGTGTATTCACACCTGTCTTGTTTGGTTCGATTGAATGCAGCAGGGAGAGGGCGAGCCTTTGCCCGTCTCCTGTGGGGAGCCGCTGGCCGACGGCACTCCCGGCATGGCGTTGGGCATGCAGGTGGGCGAAGAGTTGAGCTGAGAGCCTTTGGTGTCCAGCATGACGGTGACCTCGCAGCCCGTGGTGCCCACGCCAGCCAGTTCCTTCTCGAAGCGCACCACGCAGAGCTCCGACTTGTCCTGGCCGCCACCCACCACCACGCCCCCCGTCAGCCCGCCCACCTTGGTCCGTGTAGCACCAGCGCGGCGGTAGTCCTCGTAGCCGTGCGTACCCCAGGCGGAGGGGGCGCCGGAGGGTTCAAAATGGCGGTAACTTGGGTGAGCTGGTGCTGGGCAGGTCGGGTGTGGATCTGCGGTGAGAGAAATTCAAAAATACAATAAACATGCACTTCATTCATACATGGATGGGTGTATTCACACCAAGAAAGTCCACTAGTTCACTTGCTTTGATCCGGAACAAATACAATGTTGATTTTTTTGTTTTTTTTTGTTTGGTGTGGTTTGCTTTCACACTGCCCCTTTTGCAACTGAACCAGAAATTGCAAGGGTGTATTCACACCTGTCTTGTTTGGTTCGATTGAATTCGAACTCAAGTTCGTTTCCCCCCTTGGTGCGGATCTTTTGGGCAGGTACGGACCAAACATGTACTAAACGTGTACTAAGGTCATCCATTCATAGGTTCATCCATTCAACTATACCAGAGTTAATTTGGAACCGGACCGAGACCACCTCTTCAGCTTGGTCTTGGTACGGTTGTTTGGTCCACACCTGAGTGCAATTGCTGTATTCACACCTGCCCAAAAGATCTGCACCAAGGGGGGAAACAAACTTGAGTTCGATTCAATTGAACCAAACAAGACAGGTGTGAATACACCCTTACAATTTCTTATTGATTTATCCCTTTTTGAACATGGACACAGCATTGACAGACATACCAAAATCAACTTTCAAGCAATGTGAATCCTTTACCTGGGCTGGGGTCTGCGTCGTGCAGGCGTGCCCTGTCCCATATGCAAACTCCTCTGTGGAGCGCACAAAACAGGTGGAGGACGACTCACTGGTCACAATGGTAATGGGTTTGGGCAGCATCTCTTTTCTGCTGTTGGATGACGACTCACTCCCTGTATGAGACTGAGACAGACTGCAAGTCATCGAACATGCAGAACCACCTCATGCTTACGCAACAAGATGGAGGATAGAAGGTGTACATGTGTAGTTTGGATTTTCTTGTTTTATGAATGAGTCATTCACTAATTCTGCTTTGACTTCATTTGAATAGCATTCAAAAAAAGAAACTAAATTATTGTCAAGATTTTAGAAAGGAAACGGCAAAGCAAGTTATTACATTTTGATTAGTTCTGATTATCACAAAGACAATTTTCTTTGGAATGACATGCACCGGTGAATCGTGCACAATAAGACCAGAAACACATAGGAAAATAAATAGTCAATTTTGATTTATTGACTTCAATGTCTGTCGTGACTTCATGAGTATCTAGGCACGAAGTAATTCTGAGACAGACACAAAGATGAACCAGATACTTTGAAGCACTTTGATTTGATAAAAACACTCACTGCTTGACCGTCATCCTCAGTGTCGCCCTCTTCAGGTGTCGAGGAGGATGGCGAGTCAGATCCTGCAGGGAAAAAAAAAACAAAAAACAGATTCTGGTTTATCATAAATACATTTCAAGAAAGAAAATAGGAGTTCACATTAGACACATTAGCAATATCCTTGCATGGCATTGTCTTCTTCACTGTACTGGTATGTTTAGAGGCCAGAACAACAGGGTTATTTGGCTTTAAACCTCTAAACTACATTAAATTCTTTCACTCCAGCTTCCTGTTCACTATCTTTTGCTGCTTCTGTACCTCTGTCCAGCTTCTCAAGGACACTTTGAAGCCCCCTCTCGAAGGAGATGGCGTCAGCTGGACTCTGGAAGGTCAGACCAAACTTCCTCTCCTCCACACGCCAATGATGGAAGATGGGGTTCACCTTGTTGTAGACCAGACCCTTTTGAATGGCGCATTCCAGCACAGGCTGCACGAAAAAAAAAGAGACAGGCGGGTCACTCGTGGGCCACTCGTGAGGGCAACTACCAGATTACCCGAACTACCAGGACTGTCAGGCTGAGGGAACATCAGTGCACTCAAAGACAGGCATGAACACACACGCACACACTCACTGCTCGATCGCGTAGCCGTTCTCCACGTATGACGTACTCTCTCCGCCCACGACCTTCAGAGCTCCGCCCCTTACATATGATCACATGACTGAGGCCGCCACCTCCAAGGGGCACCCAGCCACCGCTAGAATCGTCACGTGTCATCACCACCGCTCGGACACGCACACTGTTAGGGAAGTGAAAGCAGTGAGTGCACTAGCCAGCTGAGTGCAAACACACACACACACACACACCCACACGCACAAACACAGACTTTGAGACATAGACAATTAAAGAAGAAAATACAACCATCAGTATAAAATATCAAAATAGCCTCAAAATGAAGGTAACTGACAATTAATAGGGAAAAGACACAGAGATGCAGAGTGAAGATGTGTAAGGAAGTACTATTATTGGCCTGCAATATCCACTGAAATGATGACGTTCATAAACCATTTTGCTTCTGTAATCTTTCTGGACATATTTCCGAGTGAAACTAAATATTCAATTAGAATAATGGTGAGGTGGGACATTGGATTTTATGCATTTGAAGTTTATTAGATCATGAAAAGTGGACGTTAATGCATCATAAAAAAGAAAGGATGTTTCAGACAATGAGCAAGTTACATTACATCTGTAAAAAAAGAAAGATTTTATTAATAGAAATAGCATGCACTAATGAACTGGCCATCAAAGAACACGCATTAAAAAAAGTAAAGTTCAGTTTTGATTTCATGTTGACTGACATTTTGGAAGTAGTTAGTAGTGAAATGCCTTTAACCTGTACAATCGTCCTTTTTTTTCAGTGTTGAAAACTTAAAGCCAGCCGGTTCAAGCCAAATGCAAGCAAGGTTAGTCTGGAGATTGGGGATTTGGAAGGAAATGCACCTCACAGTCTTTTGCTACAATATGGTTGATGTGATGGTCACAGCTAGCAGCAGACACGTGACTGGAGGGGACTGGATGAAACATGTTTGGCTCTTTTCCCTGCCCACGCCAAGATGATGAAGTTAGTCCAAATGAAGAGTCATTTCAGAGGTGGAGCAAGTTATTTGTTAAAATATCACTGATAATTAATGTGTGCCACAATAGGGCCCATAACATACATTTAACGTTTAGTAAATGTGGTTAATTTTTATGCTGACGTTAAAGGTGCAATTGATTTCACCCCTTTTGGCAACATCCATTCGCAAGATTTAGCCATACAGTAGACAATGAATATGACACGCCCCCTTTCCAAAACTCCGCCCCGAGCTCTCGAAAGGACTGACAGGCTGAGAACGTTTCTGATTCGCTAGAAAAGGGCGGGCCGCTCCCCCGCCTAGTTCTGCTGTGACAGAGACAGGTGAGATTTGATTGGTCAAGACGCCCATTTTAGTGATAACCGTCAGGTAACAGGGACATTTTATGCTTGATATTCCAAAAATCGCCCTTTAATATAATTTTGAATGATTCCTTGAGACAAGATGGTGTGGCATGGTTGCAAGGACTGGTTTATCGTGTTAAATGGATTGAATGAGCTTAAATCACAACGTCACGTGCGCTTTGTGTATTCCCTAAACTATAGGAAATATATAAACAGTGAAGCGCGATTATAAGAATGAGAGGGTTTTTTAATGGACGGTCACGTGGGCGAGGAAAATCTAATCACACGTTTCCAGCCATCGCTCATTTCTGTAGAAAAGTCTTTAATACAGTCGTTCCGCATTTACAATGAAACCGACATAAAACAACAAAGAGCATAATGGCTCCATATGGGGGAGTAGCACAACGAAGGAAATCGTAAATAAATGAATGGCCTGCGGGGAATGAAATGTGTGGAGATGATGAGGAAGAGGGTGGGAGATGAAGAGTTGAGATGTATCAATGAACGCGCCCATTCGCCATACAAGGCCCTGATAGCGGGTTTCCAGTCCGACAAGCTCCATTACAATAAACGCTATGAAATCACATCCATTTTGATTCAGAGTCCCGTTTGTGTTATTAAACGGCATCAGTTATTATAAGCCATTGCAGCACCGTATCGACACGCGTTCACGCGCACTCATTCGTTCATCCCGCTGTTTTATGAATGAATAAAACCACATATATGCTACAGCGCGGCAAATTCAATGGGCAGATGAGTGGGTGAAAGGAGGATATGGACAAGAAGAAGAAGACGAAGAGAAGCGCGAGGGGGAGGGGGAGACATGAAGAGGAAGAGGAGGAGGGGGTGAGAGAAAAATCACATTTCATTCATAAAGTTTGGCTTTAAAAATCATAATGAAACTCGAGACGCGTTGATAAAAGCATCCCTCTCCGCCTCCATCCCGCCAGTGAGTTCCCGACGCCAGAAAACTCGCCATATTTCGTCGATTTGGAGCGACACGTTTTATAATTCACGGATGTATTTGGTGGTTATTATACGTGGAGCCTCCACACACACACACTCACACACACACCATCATCATCTTCGAGACAAAAAGCCGTCTCTTACTGCACCCCGTTCGTCTTTCTCGCGGCATTGAAGGCGTTTTAAGTACGTTAGTGCACTTCAGCCGAGGCCCGTTCACTGGCGTTATTCATCAAATGTTGGATGTATATGGAGAATATGGTGTACAGTGTTGATAGCCATAGCTGCGTAATAGTGTTTATGAGCATCTTAGAGTCCATTAGAGGTGCTGCAAATCAATCAGTCTGTTCTACTCAAATAAAAATGCATGGACTTACTCGCCCTCCATGGCTCGGTGTTGCCCGCCGCTTCGAGCTGGCTGCCCCCCGGTCTCTCGTCTTTTTTATTCCCCTTCTTACCGAACACACACACTCTCGCGCGCGCGCGCGTCCTCACACTCACACACACACGCGCGCGCGCGCGTCCTCACACTCTCGCTCACATACGCACGCACACGGTCTCTCTTTCACTCACTCCTTGCGCTCGCTGCTCTCATTTTCTTGTCTTTCTCTGTCCACCTTCATAGGGTTTCGGATGGGCTCGAGGGTGCAGCAGCCATTTTCCGTGGATGGACACTGTGTCCCCGAGTGGGAGTCGCATTGGACCAGTTTTGTGGCTGTCAGGACATTCAGGGCGATTTGCTTCTATAAATGGCCATGTGCATAAACAGCCACCACTGTCAAAACTGAAGAGAGAGTGACTGCTAATGTTAGAGAGAGAAATGTTTACACATAGCAAATGATCAATAGTCTAGTAGTAACACGGTGATAAGTGCACAAACTCGTTTGATCTAGTGTAGATCCGCGATGGATAACGCCTCAGTACCTTGGACAGCTCCCATACAGCTCTATACGCCATGACAGAATTCACAGCAGCTAGTCTCCATTCATCTCCAACTCCCCATTCATGTTCACTGATGGCCCACCATTGATAAACAGCCACGCCAGCGTCGAGCCTTTCTTAAATAAACAGCCCGTCTCGCTCCCGTTCAATCATTTGGATAAAGTACATGAAGTTAAATAGTTTGCTATTTTAATTAATAATATATTGTCATATATCATCAGTTGTCTAAGGAATGTTTGCGCGCGAATTTTTGCGCGGTTTAATTCAAAAATCTGTTACAGTTAAAAAATATATAACATTCGCTTAAGAACGGAAATGATTTGAGGAATCATCAATACAGTGAATTTTTAGAATTTCTGTGGAGGTGTTTTTGTTTCTTAGTTCGTTCAAAGGTAACGGCAAACTGGCATTATTGACAAATATTCCTACTCTGTTTAGTTGTTAAATTAGTCGTAGCCTATATTATCGCTATTATTTTTCTATAACATTTGTTCTTTAAAAAATAGGTTACATTTTTTTTTATCAGAACAAATATACAAATCACAAAAATGCCTGAGTGTACATAAATACCAACCATTAATCAAAAGCTCTTCTCTTTTTATTCTGCTACTCTTCTGCTTTTTATTAATAATGTTCTCCAGGTGCCATTTATCTCAAATATAGTCATTTTACGCGAAAACCACCATTGATAAACAGCCACGCCAGCGTCGAGCCTTTCTTAAATAAACAGCCCGTCTCGCTCCCGTTCAATCATTTGGATAAAGTACATGAAGTTAAATAGTTTGCTATTTTAATTAATAATATATTGTCATATATCATCAGTTGTCTAAGGAATGTTTGCGCGCGAATTTTTGCGCGGTTTAATTCAAAAATCTGTTACAGTTAAAAAATATATAACATTCGCTTAAGAACGGAAATGATTTGAGGAATCATCAATACAGTGAATTTTTAGAATTTCTGTGGAGGTGTTTTTGTTTCTTAGTTCGTTCAAAGGTAACGGCAAACTGGCATTATTGACAAATATTCCTACTCTGTTTAGTTGTTAAATTAGTCGTAGCCTATATTATCGCTATTATTTTTCTATAACATTTGTTCTTTAAAAAATAGGTTACATTTTTTTTTATCAGAACAAATATACAAATCACAAAAATGCCTGAGTGTACATAAATACCAATCATTAATCAAAAGCTCTTCTCTTTTTATTCTGCTACTCTTCTGCTTTTTATTAATAATGTTCTCCAGGTGCCATTTGTCTCAAATATAGTCATTTTACGCGAAAAATAAAATGATTGTTGTTATTTTAATTGGAATAATAAGATGAACAAAAATCAACACCTAATTAAGGAATAATCAATTCCTAAATGAAATCTCTCTAATACACTTTTATCTGGAGATATTCCAACAAATTTTGTACTTATTTAAACTGTATTTTTCACAAATGCTATATAAAGTTTAGTAGTTTACTGAATTTAGATTACAGCAGTAGAGATAATGTAACGTGATAATGTTCTGGTTCTGAAGACTTAAGACCCAGAGGTTGGGTTGTTTTGACCCAGCTATTGGGTTGTTTTGACCCAGCGGTTGGGTTGTTTTGACCGAGCGGTTGGGTTGTTTTGCCCCAGCAGTTGGGTTCAAAACAACCCAATAGCTGGGTTTGTCGCTTTTTAACCCAGCGCTGGGTTATATTTAACCCAGCATTTTTTAGAGTGTACAGTAATGTGTTTTCAGTACTAGCTTTAGTTTTGTTTGTTGGTTTCAAACGTTTTTTTTTTTTAAACTAATACAGAATATGGTTTGATATTCACACAAGGGTCTGCTTCAAACTAGATGTTTGAACCTTTCATACAAAGCCACTGCTGGAAAAAATGACTTTTGGCACAAAATCCAAAAATCGTTTCTGGGATAAAAAGCCCCATTCTCTCATATAATACTTGAATATATCTATAGAACTCATATGAATGAGATAGATAATGAACAAACCAACATGTCGACTGCTGTATTCACAGTAACACACTGTTAAATTAAAACCTTACAGAGAGGAAAGGCCCTCAACAGGATCCATGAGTGGAAAGGTTCAAGTCTGTGCTAACAAGGGCAGATCTTTTATTAGACAGCACACGTTGTGCCTGAAGAGCCGAGGGAAATTGAGGCTACAACCAAAAAGACACCAGCTCCACTTAAAGCCAACATGCTGAAGTGCAAGAAAACATGCGACACACATCTCAGCAAACTCAAGAGGGTGAAAATAAGGGCATGCAAGGAAGTATTAAAGAAAGTAAAAAAGGAAACTTTCCTCCGATTGACTCTTTGTCTGATGTGCTCTTGTGTCATGAAATGTAATGCAAAATGCACAATTTCAATACATTTGAATACAGGTATTAATGCCACCAGTGTTGGGGAAAGTTACTTTTAAAAGTAATGCATTACAATATTGCGTTACTCCATAAAAAAGTAACGAATTACGGTACTTAGTTACTTTTTATGGAAAGTAATGCGTTGCGTTACTTTTGCGTTACTTTTTACCTGATTTCTCTCAACATGGGGACAGGAGAGCTGTCAATCAATAAATTGGAAAAAAAAAGTAGCTTGCCTTACTTATTTGAAAAAGTAACTCAGATATTCTCTTGTAAATTAAAAAGTAATGCGTTACTTTACTAGTTACTTGAAAAAAGTAATCTGATTACGTAACTCGTGTTACTTGTAATGCGTTACCCCCAACACTGAATGCCACAATCCTAAGGGTCCTTTATACTTTTTTCTTTAGATTTATTGGGTTAAATATAACCTGGACATGTTTTGCATTAAATTTCTCTTGGTTTTCTTTTCTTTATAAAACAGGAGGCTCATCTGTATTGTCAAAAGTATCCTCAAAAGCAGCTTCCCAATTAGAGGTCAACCCTGCACAGAGGAGAATGAAACCGAACAGATGTTTAAATCCCGGGGATCTGACACCAAAACCATCCAGAAATCCCTGAACTCTGCCCTCAACTGTAGGATCGAAACCACTACAAGTTCCTCCCTCACCTGGAGTTGGAAAAGCAGCATGAAGGGCCAAACAAAGGCAAGACCGCAAAGAATACAACCTTATTGCAGTCTGCTTAGAGGAGTACTGGCCCAGACCAGAGGACAAACACATCCAGAAGCTGTGGCTCTCCATGCTGGGAGAAGTAGCTTTAATTCAAAAAGCAGTGATACTGTAGATTCTAGGTCTCCTCCATGCCCCAGAAAACTCAGCCTAAGCATATGCCAAGTCCAGAACAAAACACAATGCAACTATGAAATATATAAAAAATGAACATGACAAAAGTACATCCTGAGGGGCACTAGCATACGTACAGCAAACACTGTTTGAAAGCTGACCTGCCTCTAAATGTTAAGAGGATGGGGAGTCAAACGTGCATCTAAATGCATCTGTGACTTAACCTTGGTTGTCTTGCCTGAACATGAAGCAGACTATGAGCCACTCTACAGCATCCATTACAAATGTTGACCTCCTTCTGTTAAAGTTCAGATGACATTTAATCAGTTTAAAAAACAAATTAACTACTTGCCTCACTTTTTTTTGCATTTGAAACCGACACATTTTCATAGTAGTTCCTGCATCTAACACAATATAAATGATAACGTTATTATTGATATTGTTTATTATTATGTACAGAGTTTCAGAAGGCATTTTATAAAAGAGTCAGAAAAACATTTATTCACCAGAAGTGTCTTGTGGCAATGCCAGCCAGGCCAATTTTCCTCACATTTCTACACAAACTCACTCTTGATAAAAACCATCCTTGTTGAGAGGAACAACATGTGAATATTCAAAATAAGACATATTAAATGTTTATTTAGAAAAAAAACCAACATTGAGACCCAGTCATTAGATGTTCGTCAGTAATGCAGGAGGGTTGACGCACTCAGCAGACAATCATACAGAGAGACCCTGATACGGGTAGATATTAATAACTTGTAGGCTAAAGAGTTCTGGTCTCATCCTCTGAGAGTCATTATTTGCAGCCGTGTCATCCTGTGTCTAAACTGAGTACAGATATATGGCCACTGTACAATGGTTTGATTTGGATAAACAAACGTGAACCTTTATGTATACATGTGTCTAAACGCTGCTATATCTGCACTACACAATCATTTCCAGCTGCCTTGCGTACTCGATGACTTGTTGGGCCAGTTCTGTGGAAGGGATGGTCACTTCCTCTGTCTTTTGATGCTGGGTACTGAATGAATAGTATCCATCGGGACTCTGGGTCCAGCCTCTCTGCAGAGCACAAAAGCCAGACCATGAACATATCAGCATCTATCCAATAAAATAATAATGTTTACTTGCCCTCAGGCCATCCAAGATGTAGATGAGTTTGTTTCTTCATCAGAACAGATTTGGAGAAATGTAGCATTACATCACTTGCTCACCAATGGGTCCTCTGCAGTGAATGGGTGCCGTCAGAATGGGAGTCCAAACAGCTGATAAAAAGGTCTCAGTAATCCACATGACTCTCTCTAGTCCATCAATTAACATATTGTGAAGTGAAAAGCTTCTCGATTGTAAGAAACAATTCCATCTTTAAGGAATTTTCTGGCCAAACCACACAATGCTTTCTCCAGTGTTACTGTCCATCTCCTGTTGTCCTCTCTCATCAAAAGCCACAAACATACTTGTTTACAACTGTTTTGCTTGTTAACGGTGCTTGATCTGTGCAT